CCACTGACCCCGCTGACCCCCCTGACCCCGTGACCCCACGACTCCCGGTGACCCCGGTGACCCCGATGACCTCAATGACCCCAATGACCCCTGTGACCCCTGATGTCCCAATGACCCCCATGACCCACTGACCCCCCTGACCCCGATGTCCCCAATGTCCCCCCCCATTGTCCCCCAGATGTCTCTGTCCCTGCACCTGGACCCGGGCGTGGCCGTGGCGGCCGTGCCCTGGTGGCTGCTGCCGCTGGCGGCGCTGCTGGGGCTGCTGCTGCTGGCCCTGCTGGTGCTGGCGCTCTGGAAGGTGAGCCGCGCCCGCCACGTCGCGACACGTCGCGATATAGCACGGCAAATTGCGATACGTCGCGATATAACGCGGCGAATCGCGATACGTCGCGATATAGCGCGGCGTATCGCAGTGTATCACAGCGTATCGCGGTGTATCGCGACATACCGTGGTGTATCGTGACATACCGCGGCGTATTGCGACGTATCACAGCGTATCACGGCGTGTCGCAACATATCGCGACATATTGTGGTGTATTGCGGCGTATCGCGGCGTATCGTGGCGTATCATGGCGTATTGTGATGTATCACGGCGTATCGCGACATACCGCGGCGTATCGCGACATATCACAGCGTATCGCGGCGTATCGCAGCGTATCGCGACATATCGCGACATATTGCGGTGTATCGCGGCGTATCGCGGCGTATCGCGGCGTATCGCGACAGGCGGCGATAGGCAGCCCCCCCTCGTGTCTCTCCCCCCGCAGCTGGGGTTCTTCCGGCGGGCGCGGGCGCCGCGGGCTCCGGCCGTGCCGCGGTTCCGGGCCGTGCGGATCCCGCGGGAGCAGCGGCCGCGCGCCCGCGAGGGACGGACCGGAACCATCCGCAGACCGCACTGGGCCGCTGCGGCCACCGGAACCGGAACCGGGGACGGGGACAAGGACGGGCCCCGGACACCCGGATCAGCCTGAGGGACGCGGCACGGACGGACGGACGCGGCACGGACACGGGATAACGGACACGGGATAATGGACACGGGATGGACACGGGATAACGGACACGGGATAACGGACACGGGATAATGGACACGGGATGGACACGGGATAACGGACACGGGAT